TGGGGTGGGTGAAGGTGCTGTGTACCTCACCCTGCAAGGGCGACTCTGGCACAGCCTGGAGTGATGGTGTCAACTGCAGAGGAGTCCAGGAACCAGCTCCTGAATCCTAAATTCCTCAAGGAATGTCTTAAGGGAGGAAGAAGAAAGTAAATGAGTCAGTGTGAAACGCATTGCTTCCTTGCAAGAGGAAATAAAGGTCCCAGGAGCCTCCTGATGGCTGCAAGTGTGAAAGCCCATGTGTGTGCATCAACCGTGACACTGCTGGGATCCGGGAGGCAGCTGCCCAGTCCACTGCCAAAACCTCTGCTGCTTAAGCTGGGTTTGACCTCCTGCTTTTCACAGCTGGTTTCCTGGTGGCTGCTGGAAGGTGAGGGCTGAATCCCCTGGCCCCACATGCAAGCACAGCCCAGTACAGCTGCACCCTGCTCCTCGTGCCTTCCCAGGGAGAATTCATGCAACCCAGCATGAACTGATATCCATCAGCCAGCCCCAACCACCCATAGCTGTGCCCAGGGAGTTGGCATCACCCCACCCATATGTGAGGGCCCTGGCATTCCCGGGGCTGGACGAGGGCATCTCCTGGCGCAGAATCCATGCAGTGCCCCTTCCTGCCTCCCACTGCCTGCTCCACCACATCTGCATCATCAGGCTATGGTGCGACATATTGTACTCTTTAAAAAACAAGCTCAGTGCTCCTGGAATTAGGATCCGAGTGACGCTGCCTGAATCATAACCTTTAAAAAATAGCAGACTTTTTTTATGGTCTATTTTTCCCTCAGTGGAACAAAGCCGGATTTAAAGGTCTGCCGTGGGTGGATGATTGCAACCCCTGATCCCCAGCCAGAAGCATTACATTACATAAAGAGGTTTCTTCTTCATTAGGAATTAATCTGTGCTAACCAACTGTCAACTGCTGGTAATGACCGTTTATTAACATGCTGCCCTCCCCCGATGAGGGTCATTTAGCTGACTTATTATATCAGATGTAATATGAAAATGCACTTATCCATATCCCAGGCAAACAGGGACCAGCTTTCCTCCTGCCTGCCCACGAGTGTGCTCATGCAAGGGAGTGAGGGCAGGGGTTCATTCTTCCTTCTGCCTCTCCACTGCCTGGCTGCAGGACATGGACTCAGCTCATCAGAGCTTCTCCGCTGGAAAGCTGAGCTGGTAAGAGAAACATCCTTATGGAAGTCCTGCTTTGGATGCTACTGAGGGCATTACCGGCCACGATGTCAGGAACCAAAGTTTGCAGTGATGCAGAAGGTGTGGAAAAGCACTTGTATGCATTCATGGCATGTGTGAGTTTATTGATGGTGAAGTCAGGAAAGGGGTTTATTCTTCCTGGTAGAATTTTTAGAAACATTCACAACCAATCACTTGTGGGCTGCCAGGTGATCTGAGCACGTGTTATGGAAAAGATGGGGCTGTTGTTCATGGATGAGTTATCAGCTCTATGCAGTATAATGAGGCATTAAATGAAATCACTGAAAAACATTAAAGAAAATCAAATTCTAACCTGAAACCACACCACTTCTTCTGCAGAAGGAAATGGTGGGAGTGAACAGGGCTCATACTCATGGCTGCAGAAAGGCTGCTGTTAGGCTTTTCTGTATACAAACTAAGTGGCTTCAAGGAAGGTCACAGGCGGAGTGGGGATCACCTAGTCCAAAGAAGTGAAGAGCAGAAGAAACCTGATACATAGCTGCACAAACTTCAGAGCATAAACTTTCCCTTATATCCGCTGCAGGTAGTACAGGGCATAACGGACCCGTGTTATAGCTAGGGACATCCAGCTTGGCTACCAGAGAACGCTTTCTAACTTTAAGGCTGGTTACTCACTGGCATAAACTGCCCAGGGAGGCTGTGGGTTTTGAGAGCAGGCTACACAAGTGTCTGTCTGAAGTCACTTAAGTGCAGCTGATACTGCCTTTGGGTGCAGGAGCTGGCTGCTGGCCTCCTTGCCAACACTATTTTGCCTGTGGCAGCGCTGGACATGGTGTCCTTGTCCCAGTGGTGGGAGCATGCCCCAGGTCTACCACTCCTTGGCTATCAAGTACCAGTGTGGGACCTGGTTGAGCCTCACTGAGACCTCACAGAGACCTGGCACACGCCAGCACTCTGCCCAAGCACCCAGGCACTGAGCTCAGTACCTTCACCCTCTCCAGCCTTCCCATCCCTTGAGAAACATTTTTCAGCCTCTTTCCCTCTTCTACGGTGCCCTCAGCTTGTTTCTGAGCATTTCTGCTCTCCTCTTGCAGCCTCATAGGGAGCAGAAACAAGGGTCAGGGCAGACACCAGAAGATGGTTGAGAGGTGTCTGCTTGGCAGCAAGTGCGGGTGAAGTCTTCAAGTCCATTACCTGCTCTAATGACAGCAGGAAGTGTGGAGGTTGGGCTGAGATATGAGCAAGGTGCCCAAGGTGTTGAGGCATGTCCAGGTTCAGGCAGGCAGCTGGGAAATGGCACTGAGGTAGCTTAATACCACAGTGCTGAGCAGAACTGGACAGCCAGCTGGGTGGGTGAGCCTGAAGGCTCATGAGAGATGAACATCAGGGCATTCAGGCTGAGCTAGGGACCAGGGGAATGCCTTGGAGCAGCCGTGAGTCTTTAGGGCAGCCTCTGTCCTGGGGGCAGACGTGCCTGGAAGCGACTATGAACATTTTAAGGTCTTAGATAGCAGCCCAGTAACACTGGATGGAGAGACTGAGGAATGAAACTTGGGATCTAAATTGTGTCCTGGGTGGCTGCTCCAGTCCTGGGTGTGCTGGTGGGTCCTCCTGTGGACCTGAACACACCAGGCAGCCGGGCCAGGCCCACACGGCTGTGTGCTGTGCATCTGCACCATGTTGCTTGATAGCTGATGTGAGAGTAAGCCTTGGCATTCTTTCTGAGGCTGATTCCTCCTCTGTCAAGTCAAACATATTCTTCTGTCTTTAACTCGTACCATGCTGTTTTACCTCCTCCCAGTTAAACTGATCAGTTTATCAGATTCATATCATAAGGGAATGATCTTAGGGACAGAGTTTGTACTTGTAAAACAGCCTCAGCGGTTTCTTCCCTTGGCAGAGCACCAGCACAAAGGTGGTTTGTACTGGAGCTGTTACTCATTTGTTTCCATGGCTTTTTTCACCAGCTGAGATGTGGGAAGAACACCAACACGCTGTAATGATTATGTCAGCTGCCAGAGCACCGAGGAAGAGGAAGCACAAACATTGCAGCCACGACTGAAGAGGAGCTGGAGAAGTGAGGAGAAGATAACAGCTTGGCAAAATACTGCCTTTGGCACAGTCACAGAAATCCTGCAAACACACATCGCATCTGCAGAGCGGGGAGGGCACCAACCTCCCTCATGGACAAAACACACATGGAGAGCCCTCACCCCGGCAGACCAACACTGACCCCACAAAGAAAGGGTCTCATGGAGGAGCCAAGCCCTGCAGGAATGTCCTTTGTCACCTTCCCTGGGGCGACAGTTTGCATCCGTGTCACCATCATGGCTGGGGGTGATGGTGAGGGTGATGACCACCTGAGATGGTTAGTGTCTCCAGGTGTGGTCCAAGTGGGAGTTTCCTTTCCTCCCTACACAGTCTTACAAAGTCCTCCTCAGCACTGTACCTGAGCACCTACCAATATGCATTAGATGCTGAGGCTTCTATCTGGTGCAAATGATCTGGCCTTTCTCTTGTCCAGCTCCCCAGACAGTGTTTTCTCTCCTTGCCTAACAGCTAAGTAACTCTGCCTTTCCTGTTTTGTGGAATGGCAGCTCTCCTGAAACTCCAGATTAAAAAAGAGCAGTAATTTTGCTTGGAGGCTGCAGCAATCACAGCCTGTGCTCAGCACTGAAGGTCTCCTCGCAGCAATACCCATAAAATGTGGTCATTATGCACCTTAATAAGAAAAGTTTAAAATTTCATGGTTGAAATGAATTTGGACCCTAATAAAAGTCCAGATAAAATGGAAAGAGCCAGGAGGCTGGAGAGTTTTACAGCTCTAATGTTCTGTCCCATTTCCCAAAATATATTTGTTCAAGTAAAACAAACTGTCATTACAATTAACTTCTCCTTTCATTTCCCTCTCTGAATTCCCTCTAAGCTAAACACACAATTTTCTTCTATAAATCTGCATGACAAGTAGAGCAGTAAAACCTCTTTCTTTTTTTTTCCCCACATCATTTATATGCATTTTGCATGGATTGAGCTGCCAAGCTCTTTTCCCTAAGCCAATTTCTATGGTTGCAAGTGCACAAATCCACACCCGGACACCCCTACAAATCCTGTGGGAGAAGTCCAGTTTGCACAACTGGCCGAGATAAGTCTGATTTGTTTTCTCAAAGGCAGGAAATCTTAAAAATCAGGCACTGAATTATCTGTTAATGGCTTTGCTGCTTGCTCCAAGGATTGGGCCATGCATGGTTGCCCTGCTTCCTGGGTTCCCCTTTGGCATGCCTTTCGTGACATGCCACTAATACAGTCCCCATCTCTCTGGTGCTGGTAGCATGAGTTGGGAGGTGGTAGGACACCTGGAGGCTGTGCAAGTCTCCTTGTGTTGGTGTGGAGAGGCCTCTGCCTGGTGTTTCTTTGCCCTGGGCCGCCACAGGCATGTGGCTCGCACATGAAACTCTGGCTAAGGACCACCTGATGACACCCATGGCCAGAACTGAACCCAAACCTCTAGAGAAAACAGCTGTATCACTGCACTGCACCACCCCACAGCTGGTGGGGATGCTACCGCTTCTGGCAGAGGATAGCTTTTTCTTGCCCAAATCAAGGAGTGCTACACGGTGAAGTGTGATGCCCAGGCACTGAGCGTCTTGGGACAGCGGGGTACTCTGATCCTCACCTCTGCAGTGAGCTCTGCTCAGCCTGGCAGTCACACCTGCAAGAGCTGGACACTAAGAGCAGCACAATGCTTATGCACAATGTCCCTCTCAACCCTTTGTGCTTCATCTGAAATGGCAATTCCTCTTGACCAGGAAAGTAATGACCCCGATACATTATTTCAAATGTCATTTTTTGCAAAAGAATTAGTCAGCTTAGTGTGAGACTGGATTACATTTTAATTCTAATAGTGCTAAAGTCTTGCTGGTTTTTAAATACATTTGTCTGTTCTTTAAATTTCAGCAGGGCAGTATCGCACTTAGTTAGACTGTACCTTGCTGTAATCTCTCCGCTGTGGAAATTTGACAGACAATAGCCACTGTTCAGTGGTCTGGGTATCAGCCTCACCCGTGCACATTTCCTTTAGTCCTATTGTCTGCATTAGGGATAATAGCTGAGATTCGGCAGCCGGCACCTCAGAGCCCTTTTATCTTCCATTGCTGCATGTGGAGACAATCTTTTCAAAGGCACAAAGGCAGAATTATATGACAAGTTCTCATTTATAGTCAAATGGAGATTGAAATATATACCTGCCATTTGGGCTCCTGAAAATGTGCCCTTAAATGTAATTACTAACATTTCTTCAGTTGTGGGCTGCAGTTTCCACAAAAGGTTTCTGAAGCTTATAGCTGCTATTAACAGCTCCATTTTCCCAAGGAGCCTTGCATACTTCAAAGTACTTGTATGCTTCCACTACATTTCTTCCACCTTTTGAGATGCTTTTTATTTCAAATCTATTACAAATGAGCTGTTTATTCAAATCATTTATCCCTGGCCATTAGCTCGTAGGTAACAGGTCTCCAAACAGAATTAAAACACCATTTTAGAGTTCACGCCATGAAATGGAGTCTTCTCCACCATTTCCATCTGTTATTTTATTACCAGGTTTGATTACAGCCATCAGCACAGTGGATTGTACCCACTGTACAATAAGTTTAGCATCAGCCTTTCTTGCAAACTTTTCGACACTTCCTTTTCAGAAGGAAAATGTAAGAGAGCCCGTAATTTTTGCCAATACCTCCTTTTCTTGGCTTTTGGCTAGTAGTGAGAGCCTTCTTTTTCTTACTTCAATATAGTAAGTGTTCTGGGCACAATAAATAGTAATTCATGTACAATACATTACAATTTCATATATGTGCAGTATTTAATATAGGTATATGTCCCAGTGTCTTAGTTATATGCTACCTGCATATATATTATACATGTATGTATATATCTCCATATAGAGTTGCTTTCTTTCAAAGTCATGATTTGGTTAGAAACAGAAGTACAATGGAGCCAGATGCAGAATGAGCAGGGCTGACATTTTCTCTCTTTATAATTGAACCAGGTTATTCAGAGAAGGAGTATTCACCAGTGAGATTTACCCAAACCCTTTGTGCGCTTCTGAAAATCCTGTTCTTCGGTAGGTTATTTGTCCAGATGCTTCAAGCTTCACAGAATTGGGCTGTATCCATCAAACAGTGCTCGGAGCCTAGCTTCAGGCACCATTTCTCAAAACATTGGTTGGATCTTGCAACTAGAAGTTAGGCAGTGCTCATGGAGTCTCTTGGAATCCAGGGAAGATGAAAGGTGAAATACATTCTCACCACAATACTTCAAATATTTGTCCTAGTTTCATGTCTAGACACTCTTTTAATAAGCAGAAAACCACAATTCATACGCTGCCTGAAGGAGATGCTTTGGGTTTATTTGAATCTATACATTTAATCTATTGTTTTAATGAATAATAAGCGTAAGTGGTGCCTAAGAGAGAGAATATTCTTTTCTCTTTAATGAAAAAATACCCTCCTTGATGGATTTATAGGCTGTATTTTTGTGTCTGGAAGACACAGACATCAATCTCTATCAGTCATGCACACGTGCATATAAAGTAGCAGTAAGGTAGCCTCTCCAAAAGATGTTTATTAGGTGGCATTTAAATGACAGGCAGCACTAGCAAAGAGATGATAGGATGTAAAGGACTGTCTTTGTCACCACATAACTTCTAAGGGAACAGGAGATGTAAAAAACAAACTGCAAAGTAAACACTAGGATATCTCTTTTTTGTATGCCAGGATGCATTATTTTTTGACAGTGCTTGCTTATTGGCTGTTGGGCTACATTTATCTCTAGTTTAATTATGATGTGGGGGAGAAACATACTTTCTTCCAGCTGGACTGATTCAGAGGACACATTGAAGAACTTATTGGTAACTACAAGAAAAACCTTTGAATTCCCACTGGGTGTTCTGCTCAGAAATCATGACTGTGCCACACACACGCTAGTTAAGCAAACTAAGCCCCTCAGCACCTCATGAGACAGGTAAACATCATTGCTCTCCACCTTCCAGATGGCGGAGAAGAGGCACTGAGAAGTTAAATGGCACATGCCATGGGTAATGCAGAAACACTGGCAAAACTGGGGGCACAGGAACCCAGTTTCTCATTCCCCACACCAGCGACTTCACGGTGCAGTTCTGCTGCTTTCCCCCAGCAAAGGTCCTTTCCCTGCCCCATCCTGCTGCAGCGTTGCTTCATTTTATGCTGCTAATGCTGAAGAACATACACTGGTTATGTTCAGGCTTTAACCTCTCAAAAGGGAAGTGCTCTATTTCTTTAGCATTTTTTTTGTGTCTTTACTATAGTGATCTCCACTTCTTGATGTGAGATGTATCCAGGTTTCAGGTCGAAGAAGAATGATGTGTGGTAAACGGACTGACCTTGTTGGTGGCTCAAAAGGACAGAAGTGGCAGTCTGGGATACAGGGCAATGCTTCCTTTCAGATGCTGTTCTTCCATGGCTCCTCTTCTTGCCAGCGTATTCAGATCTGTATTTTCTTACTTTTATAACCAGACAGACCTCCATTCATGTCAGTTATTATCATGGCCAGTTAAAGGCAACACAGTTGTTAATTTCAGTTTCTCTCATCAATTTTGTTTCCAGTATATCAGTGCAACCACCTGTGTGACTTGGGCAGCAATATTTGAGGCACAAGGGAAAACCTGGTTATTGGTGACAGCCTGGAGCTGACGCCCTCTACCGTCTTCTACATCCATTGAGATACAGGACATAAGAATTCCTGCTAGGGTAAGCAGAAAATTCCACATGCCTATAGTCATGGGTTTATTAGTATTTTCATTTGCTTTTCTTTTATTCATGTGATTTATCTGAATCTTCATGGTTCAATCTCAGTCAAATGTACAACTTAATCTTATCATTGAGTCAGCTTCTAATCTCAGTCCTGGGTCTTCAGGATCTGCCCACCCTTCTGAGTTTCAGCTTAATAACCAAATATTTTGGTTAACATAATCTCTATCACAGCCAAAATGTCATGGTGTTTTCTAAAAACAAGGAGCACACAGACCTAGACATCCTTGTATGTTGCTTGTGCTTCTGCATTTGGGTTTTGTGGTCAGTGTCGTCAGCAAAGGAAAGGGAGATACGACAGGATGAAAAACGAAATGCCAACCACAGAAGATTATTACAATGCTCTCCAGCAGCTTCAAAGGACTTACATCGACGTTGGCCCTCGCAGTGTTATTCTTGGCCATTTAATCTCTGACATGCCTATGTTCCCCCAGAAAGAGGTTCTGGCAGACATCTCTCTGTTTATCCAAAATACCTGAACAGAAGGACAGTGTGTTGACTGGGAGAGGCATATTGGGATATACAGTTTCTTTGTGGGCTGCACTTTCCTCACAAGGATGAGGAAAACTCTTGAAAGCCACCAGTGCTGCCCTCAAAACTGTTTCCAGCTACTGGAAAGAGAAAATCATGGTCCCAGAGATACTGCCCATTCACCTTGTGCTGACTGTACATGCTTACACACCAGCGTCCCGTCTCATTTTAGAAGGCAGATGCTACATATCACATGCTGTGCTCAAGTAGTATAGAGAACACCTGTGTAAACCTCCCTGTTTTCATTACCCATGTACCCTAGGAGCTGTCTTCTGTGAGTCTCTAGCCTTCTTTGCTCTGCATCATCATCACTCCTTACTTCTAATCCAGACAAAACATGCCCACCAACTCAAACATACCACCTGCACCGTGTAACCAACCCAGCTGATCCTGGCTAGTAGACTGTCTTGATGGTATTGGTTGAGATCCTATCTGGAGAAAGCAGAGTTTGGTCCCTGAAAGGAGGTCTTTTTTGAAAAACGGTGCCAAAGAAAAATAAAAAAGCAGAGATTTGAAAAGGAAAGGCAACATTTAGGTTCCTTGTAGGAGATGCACTGTCCAGATCTTCCCTTGCAGGTTGCATTTGTCTAACCTGTGACAGCCCATGTGAACACTCTCTCTGGTTGTCCATTGCACAGCAGGCACCACCAGTGTGGCTGTCCCCAAAAGAACATAGAGCACCTTTGGGGTTAATGGTGAGCACATATTTTCAAGTATGAGAAATTACACTTGTCATAAAGCGAACAGGAGCTGGGGTGTGGGTTGGAAAGCAACCAGCACAACAGGTTCCTCCGCGATGTCTGTGCATGGAGTTGCCTGCTGGAGGATGCATCCTCTCCTTTACCCTCCAAAGAGGCAATAAAATAATCAGTTTTCTGGCTTTTCATCCAGATTAGGCTGAAAAAGAACTGACAAAAGAGAGTTCTGTAAATGCCTTCTGCTTCACTCACTGCACTGACTTAGCTAAAGACAGACCAATATATCAAATTGAAAAATATATAGGTGCCTGGAAATATTAATCTCGAGTATTTATCAATTGCATGAGTGTTCTGGATGATGCGCAAACCCACATGGCCCTTCAGGCCTCTCTTCCTTGATGAATTAGATTCATTGCTCATAGTTAAGTGCACAACCATCTTTTCTTGTTTTTCTTCCTCTGGGACCATCTGGTTTCTTGTATATCCTGCCAGGCTGTTGGCATCAGATTCACTGTAGTTTCCATCCAGCATCATAGTTTTTGTATGAGGTATTCCACATGCACATGGAAACTAGAAACATAAGCAAGAAATATAGTTGAACTTTGAATGGACACTTTAGCAACAGAAATGATGCCTTTTTATTAACAGACAGCTTGTAAACAGTAGAGCTTGACATTTTAGTTGAGGCGCTCGAAGTTTCTCTTTAAGCATAAAAGTCACTTGGGTTTTTTTGCTTGTGTTCTGAAAGGAAGAGACGTGACTTAGCTGCACTGCTTGGACAAGTATCTTTGCAACACATTAGAAAATGCTTTTGCAGATATAAAAACCAGCCAGGTTTTTTTAGCTAGCTCTCTTCAGCCTTGCTGGCTTGAGATTCCTTATTTTGCAGTCTTTGTGTTTATAAGCATTCAAGGACAAAATGCATATTTTATCCATGGAAATGGCTTATCTAGTACATGTTATGGGGGGAAAAGGGCCAAGTTCTAGTTTTGCAGATGCGTGTTTTCTCTGTAAGTCTGATTTTAAACCCAGAAAAGGACCAAATTAAAAGCCTAATGTAAAATCCCGGTCCTGTTGAAGCTAATGTCAAAACTTGCACTGACTTCAGCAGCACCAGCATGCATTCTAGAAATCTAAAAAAACCCAGTGAATACAGATAGAATTTTGAATAGCAAATTCTGTCTTCTACTGATTAAAATCTGCAGGTTTTCCATCCCAGCAATATGGACTAGATATTTGTATTAAATGAAAATGAACTCCAAAACCTCCTTCCTGGTAGGAGTTTCTGCCTCTGATCCCCCAGAGACTGCTTTCCTTACCAAAAAAATACTTTGTCCCCAGTTCTCTTCTCCACCAACTTTGGTGTGTGGGTTTCCCAAGGACTTGTTTTGAAGTTCAGCTAAACTAATTAAATATGTATACACAGAAACGTATATATCCTGGATATATAGATACAGATACAGAAAGTACATATGCCTGAATACTTAATATTTGGGATGGCACTGCAAAACTCTGCGCTCAAGGTTTTTCTTCAAATTATTTAACCACCAGTAGACATAGTTTATTGAAAACCTGGAAATCAACTTAATAATTGTTTTTTTGCATTCTAGTCATAACAAAATGATAGGGTATCAGCAGAAAAAGTTTGCAGCCCATTTGCTCTAGTTGTCAGACCCATCACTCCAGGAATTTCTTGGAGCACTCCGTGGGAGCAGCTGAACATCTGTTGGGTTCCAAGATGTATTTTATAATAAGCAGGTGTACCTCAAATAATACCAAACCAGAACCACAATAACAACAAAGGGAAGAATTACATCAGGCTCTTTATCATCAAATGATGACAATGATGACAGGTCCAGGAGATGGTAGGTGGATGGGTGGAAGGGAAAGCTGTTAACAGCAATAAGCTCATTGCTGTAGGACCCAATACAGCAAGAAATTCTGCAGATTTCCTCTTAAACCTCAGATCAAATTATTATTCCTGTGGCTTCACGTACATGTGGTAACAGTCTCCCTTATGGACAGGGGAGCCTAACATACTGGAAACCCACCTCCACAGAGTCTTAAATCACCCTCATCTGCACATAGGTGCATACTTGTAGAAGTATGTTACATAATTTCACCCTGCAGCAATTTTAGTCTATGTCTACACTAATAAATTAAGCACTGCCAAAGAGCCTCCCTGGGCATGGGAACTCAGCTGACAATCCTACCAGAGTGTCAGACTTGTCTCTGGCCTGAATGTCCAGGAACCAAAAGGTTCCCATGTACAATCTGGAATAAGCACAGACCACAGACTATTTGTCACAGACAATTCACAGCAACCTCACTGATATTAAGGGGAAAGAAGAGTTAGTTTTAGATACTAAGGTTTTAGTTTAAATACTCCTTGGTCCCAGGCACATTTTATTTCTTAATGTAAACATACATTTTCTCTCAGCAGCCTAACATTCATATTAAGATTTTTGGGGTCTTTGGTAGGTGAGCAGCATTGCCTGACAAGATCTACATTTACAGTGAGATATGTCTCTTGTTTCTTCAAGAGCACTCACCTACATTTTGCTTCAGTCCTTTCAAATAATGCTGCTTATTATCTCTACTCCCACTACCATCACTGAGGATTAATATCGTCACATGCTGAAGACTGGATAGAATACTGTATCTTGTGTAGTAAAAACTCCTTTTCTGAATACAGAATTCAGTGCCCAAGACTCAATAAAGGGCAGATTTGTGATGAAAATAACATCACTGGATATGGGAAAACATTCCTGAAAACTCTGCAGAAGAGTAACACATTCTCTCAGTTCATCCATCCAATACCGTTAAAGACGAAGGAGAAGGAGGGTGGCCCATAAAAAAAAATACAGGTTTATTCTAGGCAAGTCAAACTTAGAAAGAAAGATTTCTGTTCTTTCCTGTGTACTGTCAAAACACAATCTTCTTTGGACATGGGAAGTCTGAGCAGGGAGAACACTGCTCATGTGCAGCAAGTAAGACACACTCGGCTTCAACTGCTTGCATAGAGCATTTCCACGTTGTGCTGCAGAGAACTGCTGGGCCCTGGATGAGGACTAGGATGGGGGGAATATACAATCAAGCTACTCAGGACCTGTTCAAGTAGCTTTCCAGAACCACAGTTGTTGAGAAGGCCTTGGAGAGGCCTTAAATGTATTCCAATCGCTTTTTAAAGTTTATCTAACTAAACTTTTGCTGAGATGTCAGCTAGGAAAGGTGCTGGGCTGATAGGTTGTCTATTCTGTACTTCACCAAAGTCATAGGAAGAAGTACAAGGGGAAGAGGAATTGCAAAGCCAACAGAGTAGTCCAGAGAGGGAAATGTCAAATCATATTAAAGTGGGTGTCTGCACTGGCATTTATGAAAGGCCGATATCAGGAGTCAAAAGCAGTAGGTGACTAATGTTACCTTTAAACTAATGTGGGGTGTTCCTAACTGGAAGAAAGAAGCTGTAAAACATGGTGATGGTCTGGGTCTGTGGGGACATAAAAAATTTGGTCCCAAGCCCTAATGTTAAGGTTCAGAAAGTGATGGTGCTTAATTAGAAGGAAGTGCGGCTCACAGATCTGTAGGATAATTCAGGCTGGAAAGGACCTCAGGAGATCTCTAGTCCTATCTCCTGCTTACAGCAGAGCCAGGCTGCTCAGGGCTGCTTGTCAGGTCTTGGAAAACTCCAAGAATGCAGGATGAGACCGACCGTAGCACATTAAAAAGTACAAGCGTAAACTTGGCTGAGCGCTGTTTGTGTTTGGTAGTGGGGAGCAATTCCACCATTACATCCATTGGATTCAGTTTCCAGACTAGAGCTGAGCGTAGAGGGAGGAAATGAATTTGTTCTAAGTAACAGCTCTAGCTTAAAAATACAGGAATTGTGGCAGCTGCAGTGAAGTATCAGATTTGATACTTTCCTCGATTGTCATCCACACATAGTTCCACACTACAGTCTTCCCAGTTCAGATCACACTCTTCTCTGAAGTTTCTATGAAGACCTATGAGACCACCTCTGCTTTTTCTGATGTTAGCAGGTCAGTTTTAGGTGAAGTGGCCTAAGATCCAATTATATCCACACTGATGTCAGTGTTTCACATTTGTAGATACAAATATAAAGACCAGATCAACTGTAAGAAAAAAAAGTATGAACAAAAACTCTTCTCACCCTCTCCCGCAGTTTCCTCTCCTTCCGCTCCTGCACCGTAGTCAGGTAATTCACAGCCGCGTATTCCAGCACCGAGAGGAAGACAAACACAAAACTGACCCACAGGTAAATGTCCACTGCTTTGATGTAGGAAACACGAGGCATGGAGGCATTCACCCCAGTGATGATCGTGGACATGGTCAGCACAGTGGTTATCCCTGGAAAGAACAAAGAGAAATTAATATTATGGACTGCTACAGCCCATAGGGCTTTTGTCTCAAGAAAAACATGCTCTAAGAGATGTTAGATATGAAACAGATTTGTTCTGCCAATGCAGAACTGTTTCACTGCTTTCACTTCTGTGTGCAATGATTGGGTTTAGTTTTGAGGAGCAACAGAGCAGCCATAATTTTGCTAGGAACTACATTTAACTCCCTCCCTAACATCTTGGGTTTTAGCACAGTGCTTAGGGTCAGGTCTGCTAAGACCAGTGGTGAGGACTCCTGTTTGCTATCTGTACCAATCTGTGTTACAGGCACTGCTAGAAAGCAACCTAGTATTGTTTTCTGGTCACACCTAAAGAGGATTTGGTCTAAATCACTGATCTTAAAAGGGAAGTGCAATAATGATAACATGTTTTGCATGAAACCATGGAAGAGTAAAGCATTATGTTTTTACCTCTAGGAATATTTGTCTACAGTTCAAGCTGTGGGAATCAAAGTTTTAAACAGCTATGGGATTATGCATCTAGATGAGCCTCAGGTGAGATGGTTTAGTGTGAGGTGTCCCTGCCCATGGCAGGGGGGTCCGAACTAGATGATTTTAAGGTCCTTTCTAACCCTAACTATTCTATGATTCTATGTGTACATGTGTATGTGTTTATTAACATATGTATTTATGCTTATATGCATATATATGTAGATGTGTTTATGCTTATATACATATATGTACATGTATTTATGCTTATATACATATTTATGTGTGTGAAGATGTATATACATACACATGTGTATGTGTATATACATTTAGACAAATAAAGATAAAGTCCTGCAAAATAGTATATACTTTGGATTGCTATGGAGAAAAAAAAAAATTTACAAGTTCCAAAAGACACTTAAATAGAGAAAACAGAACAAAAAGCAACCATAGCTACTTCAGCCACTTCAGAAGTGAGCACTGTAAACACAGCTACTGTTGTTCCCCTTGCATCAGCATCAAAGTTATTTATTTTTAATAATATCCACTGAACACATTTCTCTCAGTGGAGCAGACTCCTGACTGCCTCGTCTCATGCATTTGCTGCAGCGCATAGCTCTCTAAGAGAGCCAAATTTGTGGGCTAAAATACTGTGTTTGCACTTTTAGTATTGGAAGCCTTACATATTAACATTCAGAGATCTATCCTGTTACATTTTTGCCTTTCTCTAACCTATGCATGCAGTGATAAACAAATCAGCTCTTTTATGCTCAGCTGATAGAATTTCCTCCAATCCTGATGTAAGCAAAGCTCCTCCTGATGGGCTTTAGTTGTCTAGATATATCCAGAGAGGCAGATTGGTGTTATATTATATTAACCATCAGATAATGCAAACATATGCTTGCCCAACATCTTTAACCATCAAAATGAGCAGTTTCCTTTCCTGCCAAAGCTGGTACATTCAAAGACTTTTGCGTAGTCATGTCTTGTTGCAGTTGTTCTCACCCAAAGAGACTCTGGCAGGAACTGCTCGTCGGTCGATCCAGAAGGACACCCAGGACAACATGACCATGAGGGTGGCAGGGAAGTAGGTTTGGAGCAAGAAGAAGAAGATGTGTCGGCGTAAAGTGAAGTTTATATAGAGGCGATTGTACCACCCTTTGAGACAATAGAAAAGCCAGAATCAGTGAGAACAGCCTGGCTGGTAGGCACATGGAGGAAAGATCTTTCTATTGATCTGTTATTTCTAACGGGTAGTAAAAAGAGAAATTGATCTTCCAAAACACGTACTGTACAGGCCATGAAGACTACATTTCAGTGACACACAATTCCAAGAGCTCTTTAAGAAGTAAATACGGCATTAGGCTTAGCAATAGCATTAAACAGAAAATGCCAATACCTGTGCTACTGTAGAAAGCCAGTCTTGATGTAGTGTGGAATTTTTGTATCAAAAACTGAGACAAAGAAATCTTTTCATCAGTTTTCAGAGATTCATTCCCATTTTTCCAATACAGCATCAGATCTTCATCAGTGTAAGCATCTCAGGGAAAGAAGAGACATGATGTGATGTGACTTTAGCTTGGAGGGGGGGAACAAAAGTTACCAGATTCAGTCCAAATTAACAAACATGAACACAGAGAATGGATTCAGAGCAGCCATGAGGAGAAGGCCTTGGATGTGTTGGTTGACAGAAAGCTCAACATGACCAGCAGTGTGCGCTTGCAGCCTAGAAATCCAACCATGTGATGGGCTGCATTTGATTTACTGAAGTAACTCCAGAGAGCATGCCTTCGGTGAATGGCAGGGGGGCTGGAACTAGATGATCTTCAGGTCCTTTCCAACCCTAACTATTCTATGAAAAGATGTGTGACCAGAAGGTTAACAGAGGCGATTCTCCCCCTCTGCTCTGCTCTTGTGCTCAGATCTGGGGCCCTCAGAGTAAGAAGGACATGGACCTGTTGGAGTGAGTCTAGAGGAGGGCCATGAAGATGGTCAGAGAGCTGGAGCACCTCTCCTATGGGGACAGGCTGAGAGACTTGGGCTTGTTCAGCCTGGGGAGGAGCAGGCTCCAGGGAGACCTTAGAGCAGCTTCCAGTACATAAAAGGGCCTACAAGAAAGTTGGAGAAGGACTTTTTACAAGGGCATGTGGTGACAGGACAAGGGAGAATGACTTTGAACTGACAGCAGGTTTAGATTAGATATGAGGAAGAAATTCTTCACTATGAGGGTGGTGAGGCCCTGGCACAGGTTGCCCAGAGGAGTTGTGGCTGCCCCATCCCTGGCAGTGTTCAAGGCCAGGTTGGATGGGGCTTTGAGCAACCTGGTCTAGTGTGAGATGTCCCTGCTCATGGCAGGGGGATTGGAGCCAGATGAGCTTTAAGGTCCCTTCCAACCCAAACCATTCTGTGATTCTGTGCAGAACGAAAGGGCAAGAGGGTTGTTTGTAGAGGAAAATTTCAGTGAAATGTCTGGGAGGACCACAAAACAACCTGATGTTGTCTTGGCACAACCTGATGTTGTCTTGGCACAACCTGATGTGTCTTGGCACAACCTGGAGAAAGTTTACAGAACAGCCACAAAAATCTCACTGCTTACATCACTTTCTCCACAGAACAATTCCCTGCCAAAGAAGCTGAGTCCAGGTCACAGCATTTGCAGTATCAGAATTTTACCATACATAAAGCACATTGGTGATGAAGTTTAGAGGAAAAGCAATGATCATTAGAACCGTCTGTGACATTTATGTCACTTTCAAGTGTCATTGTATTACTTGAAAACACCACCTTCCCAGCAGAAACAACAAACAGAGCAAAACTTCTCCCCCAGATTTCCCATCAGGAAGCTGCTGAGAACCAGTGTATGTTGAACATTTCTGTTGGTGGGTTTTGAGGTTTTCTTTCAAAAGTGCCATCTACTAAAATTAATGAAGGATGATTTCCTTGCAAATTCACCTGCCTTGCAGCATAAGGGCTAGATATACAACACAGTAAGTCAATAGGAAGACTGTTAGTAACCCTGATGAACTACTTTATCAAGCTCTAAAATAGACTGTGTTCTGAAATATGTCATCTGTGTTTGTGAAGCCCCCCATGGAGCACATTTAGCTAGAAACACAGGTACCACGTACAGCTTTCCAGCTCCAGAGAACACGTTTGAGAGTCTAAGGGGAAGCGGCTGAAGTCCATGTTGCACATTGCTGTCACTGTGATCCTAGAAGTTAAGAATGAGAAAAGCTGGTTTCCATGAGGAGCAATAAGGGAGAATGTTATCATAAAAAAAAAAAAATAAAATCATTCTGCAGCTCTAAGGCCAGTAATTATGTATAATGTTAGCATAAAACCCCCAGGAAAATGCCCACCAATTCTCCAAGACCAAGCAAGACGTATTATACAAAGAAACTCCAAAGGACGCTGTAATTTCAATGTCTATCAAGCACTCTCTCAGATGTTAAAGTAATACTAATGTCAGTACAGATTCTTCCATTGTGGTTTATATCCAGCTATTTCCCTACAAGGCAACAACATAAAATAACACCACCATTTACATTCAAAGGTTCTTTTATGACCACTTTGATTAAAGTTTCCTGATTTCCCCCATTGCTCAGTTCCCTCTGTAGTCACCCCAACAATGACACAAGCCTGAGGAAGATGACCATCCTCATTGCAAGCCACAAAATTCCTCCAGTATGTACATTATTAAGGCAAAAGCAGTTTCTTTCAGTCCATGAGCAAATTCTTCTAACCTGGGGGGCGTATTCCTGGGGCAAGGAGTTAAAACGGGTGCAGGTGCCTTTCAAAAGGTGAGATTATTTTTTGCCTCTGTTAAATTCATGTCTTAGAGCTGCAGCATTATTTACTCCAGTTTGTAAATCAGTCCAGTTGTGCACAACATTACATAAGTTTTCCAGTGGGTCAGTGAACTTGCTCTTGTGGACAGATTTGCAGTGGCACTCCTGATTTAGTAGAGGCAAATCAGCTCTGAGTCATCATTTCAGAGCCCGACATATGTTGGCTGTGACCATTTTTTTAGATTCACTGCAGACGCTGATAAAGAAGTTTTCTTTTTTGACCCTTTTTCTGTTCCAGGAATTGTGATCCAAACCCTACTCTGACCCTGCACACTCATCTCCCCCCAGAAGCACACGCTGTTCATTTTGACTATAAAACTAGAGCAAAATTTTGCCAGATGATAAATCTTAAAGAAGCTTTTTGGGGATATGCCCCAGAAGGAATTCTGGAGCAATGACCTCTCCCAGTTGTGTAGCATTTCAGCATCGTATAACTCAGCCTCATTACAATGTGCTATTTTCTTTCCTCGGGGTCACCTAAACTGTGGCGTAAGCTGCGGGCATTAACAATTTGTTAGTCAAGGACAGCACAGAAACTCAATTCATCAACAAGATATTCCTCAATTAAAGGAATGATAGGCTGAGAAAGTTGGGGCTGGAGAAGAGAAGGCTGAATGGAGACCTCATAGCAGCCTTTCAGTATCTGAAGGGGGCCTATAGGGATGCTGGAGAGGGACTCCTCATTAGGGACTGTAGTGACAGGACAAGGGCTAACGGGTTAAACCTTAAACAGGGGAAGTTTAGATTGGATATAAGGAGGAAATTCTTTCCTGTGGGGGTAGGGAGGCACTGGAATGGGTTGCCCAGGGAGGTTGTGAATGCTCCATCCCTGGCAGTGTTCAAGACCAGGTTGGATGAGGCCTTGGGTGACACAGTTTAGTGTGAGGTGTCCCTGCCCAAGGCAGGGGGTTGGAACTTGATGATCTTAAGGTCATTTCCAACCCTAACTATTCTGATTCTATGATTCTAAAGTACAGTGTTCAGATGGCCTTGAGCCCAAGGCACAAATGAGGAATGAAAAGTCCCTCAGCCCAGTGCCATCCCCATGAAGAGATCTCAAGACACCTGAGGGCATTTTCGGAACCACTGAATACCCATGTGTGGTCAGCTGGATCACACTCTGACTGTCCTAAACACCACCAAGCCCAAATACCATGCAGATTCCCGTGCTCCTTGGATTTTATGTATCAAATTATCCACTTAACTCTTGCTCAGTCAGTTGTGGTTAACTTACATCTTTGCAACTGGAGACTGGCCCACTTCTGGAGTTATATATACACACACACTTTATTAATCACAGGTATATTGCTAGTGGTGATTTTGTGGTAGTTTACTTGACAGTGGTGATTTTTGTGGTATTTTTGGTAATCTGTGATAAGGTAGAGAAGTTCAGGGGATTAAGCCTTCATGTCCTTGTGTATTACAGAGTCCTGCAAGCCCACAGTCACGATCTGTATACCCCTGCAGGCCAGGTAACCCTTCAGGTCATGACAGATGTGCCTCAGGATTCTTCCAGCACACAGATCTGCTAGAAAACCAGGGAGTGTAGGGTGTCTTTAACAGTCATTTCAGTTTCAGTAAATGTAAACCTTTACATCAACATGCAAATGCCAAAAAAAAAAAATAGAAAGAAAAAGGAAAAAAAGTGTTTCTAAACAGGAAGCAAAATAGGATAATTATAGAGGTCACCATCTGGTATATCATCAGCTTCTAGTTTAATCACACACTGACCCCGGGACAAACATTCCTGCTCGACTAAGCTCTCCTCTGACTGCAAACAGCTGGGGGGCATGCTTTCCCTGGGAGGAGATTATCCCGTAACTGCCCACAGCATGGTTTCTCGCAGTTTCCCATGGATCTTTTTGCACTGGACTGTGCTGGAAAACAGGGCTTTGCATCAGCAGTGGGAATACCAGGGCTGGCAGTAGCAGTCCTGGTGATCACCGAAGCCATGCTGGAGCAGAACTGACAATGAAGCCCCAGGGGATGCTCAGGAGCAGCAGGGCTGCACCATTACCTCATGCTGTAGAGGACATGACCATCAGGGAACACACGCAGCATGATGTTGTCTGTGGTGGTATCATGAATGAAGGACCTTTTGGAATGCACAAAGAAGACATCAGGGACCCAGATCTTCTTCACCAGCCTGCCATCGAAGGTCATGCTCTTGTTGGTGGTGCTGGGAAATGAGAGACGCTCATCCTTCCAGTAGTGCCTTAAGTACAAAGTCATAGTGAAATCCTTCACAAGAAAGGAAGAGAACCAAAGGAGGGTCTGTCAGTGTTGCTCTTTCCATCTAGGAAACACCAGAAAGAAAACTCACTCCTACCAGGTAGATGAAATCCCTCCCCTCTAAACTTCTGTTTATTTCCTGGTCTTTGTGAATAGATTTTCCTGACAAAATAATTTCAGCTAAAACAAAACATAAACAACCAATGAATGTATTACAGTGCCCAGTAATGTTCAGTCCCAAAAGGAATATAAATAAGCCCCAAGAGAAGCAGTCCCCTGAGGAAACAATTCTTCAGTCCTGGCAAAATTATCTTGAAGGACTATGATATCAATAGCATGTTCAAAATTAGCTTAATTTACCCCCGAAGGAACTAAATTGTTGCAAAAAGCAACTAAATGAGGGAACTGTTTTTCCTATGATACAAATGTATAAATAAATCTCCTTTTTAAGCTCATTGAGGGGGCAGGAGCTCCAGTCACACAAAGGAAAACATCTGTTAGTTGATCCCAACCTGGCAGCTGCTTGCTTTCGGAGCTGAATCTACTCTCTCATGCTGAGAGGTCAAATACACTTGTTTTCTTTATAGTCCCAATTAAGCGAGTGGTTATGGGAGCCACAGCTGCCAAGTCCAGGCAGGCAGCAATCCCACAGGCTGGGATCTCTTCCTAAACACACAACAACTGCTTTCTGAAACCACCACCTGATTTTGTTTAGTCAGTGACAAACCTTTGGCTAAGCTGACTCTCCATTTCAAAGGGCTGCCTGGCAACAGTCTTGTGTTGCCAATAGGTTTTCATGGATTTGTCAAAGAAGTTTATTGTCAGCCCTCAGCTTGCTGCCCTGCAAGGGGCAGAGCAGGCCAGACACCTCCCCCTCTGACCGTGGCAGAAATAAAGTAAAATATAATCCTAATAATAAAAGGAAAAAAAAAGAGAGAGGAGAATAAAACCCCAGAAAGATGAATGATGCACAATACAATTGCTCACCACACACTGACCAGTACCCAGTACCCAGCCTGACTCAACCAATGACCAGCCCCTTCTGGTAACTGCCCCCAATTTCTATACTGGGCATGACGTGCTGTGCTATGGAATACCCCTTTGGCTAGTTTGGGTCAGGTGTCCTGTCTCTGCTTTCTCCCGGCTTCCTGTGCCCCTCCTCACTGGCAGAGCATGAGACTGAAAAGTCCTTGGTCAGAGTAAGCATTAGTGAGGAACAACTGAAACATGGGTGTGCTACCAGCATTGTTCTCAGACTAAAGCCAAAACACAGCACTGCATCAGATACTAGGAAGAAAATTAACTCTGTCCCAGCTGAAACCAGGCCAGCCAGGCAGCTGATATGCCTCTGGGCAGCTCCATCATCAGAGCACAGTGGGACAGGAACCAATGTGGCATCAGTCAGACATCCCTTAGGAAGCAAGCTTTATAACAAACTGAGAGAATGGCAGTACCTGCTGAAGGCACAGCAAATGAGCATACACAGGTGCCCGGGCACTACTTTGCATGCATCCCCCCACATCCTCTCTTTCAGTATCCAGGCAGGCAAGCTTCCTTGTTTTAATCAAGATGTTCACCATAGTAAAAACTATCACCTAAAGCTCTTCCTTTAGGTCTTCATGTTTTGTGTAGACTAGTGCCTCCCCTTGCTGAGAACACCTTGAAACCTGCTGAGAATTAGCAACTTCATATGTTTCTTCCTCCTTTTTATTTAATAAAGAAACGAAGATATTAAATCACAATTGAACTTGGCGCAAATTTCCTGAACAGCATCATTGGTGACTGAAAGCCTGTTCCCACACACCAAATTCCACTGTGGCAGAGGCAGTTCAGGCACTCACACACCCTGGTGAAGTTACTCCCAGCGATGAAGAAGGAGCAGCTCCTCCTCATTTATGTTGCCAACTTAATTTTCTAGTGTGCCTCCAGAACTCTGCATTTTAAACAAATGAACTCAACTGTTCCCCAAGGAAGAAAACTTGCAGTGAGCGTGGCTTGCGTGAACTTCACCATGTACCTTCAAACCTTCTGAGGCAGCTGCTTGTATTTTTGGTTGTGATAGATACTTCATAGCACTGATTATTCTCCCAGTTAAGGTCCCTTTTTCTATCATACTTTTGATGCTTACCTGAAGATACAAAGATGAGCCTTTGATCACCTGGTGTTATCAAGTATTTGGCTCTATCACCCTCTCTGAATTTGCCAAATGCTGCCATTACTTTCACCCAACCAGTAGTCTGACACCCACAGATTTCAAGTGGGAGGGTTTTTTCATGACTAGAAATAACTGAGACTTAAAAGAGGATTACGCACCATGTCGACCTCAGAAATACTGTCCAAGCTTTCAACTTGCACATCCACCCCAACAGGAATTGCAGGGCCTGTAGAAGAATGAGATTTACATATGTAAATAACTGCTCTTTTATGTAACCTGTATTTATTTAGCACTATGAGGTGGCATGGCAAACATTTCTGAACTTACATCATTCATTTCTGTCCATGATTCTTCATGTGGGGGCTGGAGGAAGGGTCAGTGAGTAAACATGTAAGGCCCCTTTGAAACACTGCATTTTCTTCCCCTTGGCATTTGCTGCAACACTGACTCTCTGCCCTGCTAATCCAGAGCCTGGATGAAATGTTTGCATATGTTCACAAAAATTGAACCATCCCACCATAAACCTTCGGCCTTTATGAACAAATTTAGCCCAAGAACAGGCGACTGAGAAGAATAAACTGCAAGCAATGAGCTCTTCCTTGGGGGTTTCTCATTTCCTATCAACAAGGCAAGTTACATTAATCTTTGAAGAGCCCACCACCATTTTGATTTATATGCCTCACTGATATTATTACTTTTACATAGCTTTAAAAGTAGCAACTAGACAATTCACAAAGATTAAATAAGCATAAAATAACTTGTAATAAATACACACTCCTTTATTACTAGAAACCCTGTATCAAAATTTCATTGTAGACTGCTGCTCAGCACCACCATTTCCAATTTAAATGAGTGTTGCCCCCAGCAATGAAACCAAAACATGGCTAACCCAAGCACTCTTAAATGGCTTTCAGAGACCATATAGCAGCCCTCAAGTACATGAAGGGGTCTACAGGAAAGCTGGTGAGGGAGTTTTTATGAAGGCATGTGGTGACAGGACAAGGAGAAGTGGCTTTAAACTGACAGAGGGTAGATTTAGATTGGACATCAGGAAGAAATTCTTCCCTGTGAGGGTGCTGAGGCACTGGCACAGGTTGCCCAGAGAAGCTGTGGCTGCCCCATCCCTGGCAGTGTTCAAGGCCAGGTTGGACGGGGCTTTGAGCAACCTGGTCTGGTGGGAGATGTCCCAGCCCATGGCAGGGGGTTGGAACTGAATGAGCTTTAAGGTCCCTTCCAAACCAAACCATTCTGTAATTCTGTGATTCATTGACTCCTAGATGCTTACAAACACCTATGTATCACATTGAGACACAGTTCTGCACTTCATGCTTGAAAAAATGCCAGCAAATATTTGCTCATTCTTATTGGTGTCTTGGTGATGTCTGTCCAAGCTGCAGGGTGTATGCAGGAAGATTTACCTGGGGAGAAATTCCAATTAATCAGCACTCGGGTGTTTCTCAAGAGCCCAGAGACTTTGGTAAGGTTTTTCACTCCCATTACATGAGCCTATCTTGTTTTCTTTCAGTGGCTGACTTATTACAAGGAATCACTGGAGGCCAAGGAAATTCTCACCCTGGAAGTGTTCAGTTTCCCTTCCTCCAGGTATTCCCCAAAACTCACAAAGCCCCAGTCTGCACCCACTGATGAAATGCAGGACAGGTTGTTACAACCATGTCTAGCAGCAAGGCTGAGAAGTGCTGAAGATTGTTTCCTTCTTACACGCAGGGTTTCACAACCCAGGTGTGCTCATTCAGCAGGTGAGAACAGTCTTCAGACCCCTCCCCAAATTACACAGGGAATGACTCTGAGCAAAGGGTGAATCTGCATAGAGGAGCGGACTGAGGTTGCTGTGGGACCTGCTGTAAGACTGTTCAGCTCACTGACCCACCGAAAATTAACCCCGCCACAACAAGCAGCAGCAATTGGGCTGTTTATTCCCAAGACAGTGACTTGAATCAGCCCAGGAAAAGACCTGTCAGGTGGCCAAGTATGTCACCAGGGCCAGAGGAGACAGGCAGGGAGGGGGTGGCCGCTGAGAGAGCCCTCTGCCTTTGGTGGCACCAGCTCAGCTCCTGGGACCATAACTGCCTGGGGCTCCAGGTGCTTTGCCCAATTCCCCATCAAATTCCACTAGGGATGAGCAAACAAAAACCTCTTTATTGACAGGGAGCAGAGGATGAGGAAGGTTCAAATCGGAAGGGAAACAAACAGCTGAGATAGTATGTGACACACTAGTAGGTAGCCTAGATTATCCCATTAAATGTAAAAAAGCCCTCATTAGGTACCTTTTCCTTTTCATAAACAATATTTTATCAGTATTAATTCTTTCCTCAGAGAGAGGAAATAGAGAAGGAGCAGCTTGAAGAATTACAAGCAGCAAAAGACCTGAATACTGGACCACTGGAGAGCTCTCAAAGCTCAGTGTCCTCTCTAGGATGTTCACTGCTGGGTGGGAAGGTAAATGGATCCTTGTGAAAGCTGTGGAGAAGAGGAAGCAGTGCTGCTTTGCTCAAAGACTGGAGCCCAGCAGAGCTTTTCAGCTCATACTTCAAGGTCTCTGAAAAGTGTCAGGCAAATTCATGCGATTATTCAAATTAAACTTGAGCTCAAGTATTTATAGATCAAGGTCTAGAAAAAAAACTGTATAACCTTCAACAGAAGCATTTCTTCCAGAAAACATGTCAACATCCATTATCTCCGCCACTGTCACAGCAATATCTTGCAGAACACACATCCTAATTCAGCAGGACTGATACAACCAGAAAGCAAACCCCGCACTCCTAAAGAACTCCTAAAGAACTTCATAAAAGTCACAGAATTCCACTTGCAGCATGGAGATGAACCCACGAATAAACTATTTCCCTTGCATCTCAGCACAGTGGCAGCTTCTAAGCAAGCTCAAGACACTTGCACAGTCATTAATAAATTTGACAATACAGAAGCTGGAAATAGAAAACAGGAGATTTTCCTTCCAAAGGAGATATTTATATTTGCATGTTGAGAAAGGATTTAAGTGACCTGAAGCACAATCTGGGGCTGACGGGAGTGCTTGTGCTTTCTGTTTTATTGCGCAGTATGCATTAGCCCCACAATTTCTGCATAAGATTTACCTGGGACATGATGCAGCACCCTTGCATCTTCTTGCTGTAAAGGTAGCGCCTGCCAAAACTGCATCAGTAAATTCCTGCATATCAGTGTCCTTGCCTCAATATTTTGATGCAAGCACAGTAAGGCAGAGCCTCATTGCCTTGAGGCAAGGCAATAGTTTGATTTGAAAATAGTTTGAATAATTTTGAATAGTTTGATTTGAAAACTGGGGTATTAAAAACATTCTCAGGAGCCAGCCTGTCAGAGTGTTTGTGGCTTTGTGTGTCTTTATTTCTTTGCCAAGTTCACAACCGGTTGTCCTGCGGATCAGCGGCAAGAGTATTCCCTCATTTCTCTTTCCCCTGCATTAAGCTGCTCTGTTTTGTGACAGACTTTTCAGTGAAAGCCATTACTTATTCAGCTTAGGTGCTGCATGTAGAAAAGGAGATGTTCGGAATACTTTTAGAGAAGACCCACTGCATCTGCATTCAGTGGTTGTACAAGGAGAACAGACAGTCCCAGCAACTCTCCATTTTGGGTGGGTTCTGGCACTGACAAGACTTTGTGGCTTGTGCCTTGTTTCTCCTCGCAAAAACTCCAGTTTGAATGCCAGACTCTGCCCCAAGCTAAATGGGACATCTGGTCTGGGGCTACCCCCTGCAGGGAACACAGGAGGTTTCCACAAGTCCTGCTCAGGAATGACTGAAGAAGGTGCCCAGCGTCAAAGCCTGTCATACCCCAGTGTGTCTCGGCACCTACACCCAGCCACTGAGGAGCAGCATGAAAGCTGCAAAGAGTGAATCAGTTCCCAGACAGAAACAGGTACTGGACACAAGCATGGGGGTTATTTTTAACAGGCTTTGGAAGATAGGGAAGAGCATGTACCATGGGAATGCCCGGAGTCAGTTTTCCACTCCAGCTCTGAGACTAAACCTTTGTGACATCTCTATTTTTTCTCTTTGGCAGTGATTTCAAAGGCTCATTGTTTCCTCTCTGTCCCCTCATCTGTCTTTGAAGGAGTGAGGCAGATGTAGGCCCCGAGATAAAAATATCTGTGTGGGAAACAAGCAGGTTTTGAGATTTCTTTGCTGCCAGATATTTAGTGTGCACCCAGAGAGGCTTGTAAATGTCCATCAGAGATCCCATGTCTGCAAGCTGCAAAAGTCTTCAGTGTTTCTTCATGTATGTGTGTTTGTGTATATATTTCTTTTTTTAATGTATACATATACATATGTATATATATGTTTAGGACTTCTTAGGTGTGGGTGGCTTCAAGGCAGCCACCATTGAGATGTGCTCATTAGCTGCAGAGAGTTTCTTTCCTCTGCATCTCTCTGACGGCTGGTCATCGAAGGAGAAGCAAGCTTTATCCCAGCCCTTGATATGAACACTAAGTGAACTACATCATATGCTCTGTTCACCCCACTATTCATCCACCCTGACAAAAACGCTGCCCAGAGAGGGCAGCAAGGACCAGCTGATGTTAGGCTATAAGGCTATGAAGAAATATAATAAAAGTGCAGCATTAGGCTGCTCCTCAGCAAAGAAGATACAGCTATTTTAAGTATCAACTAAAGCCGCTTATTCACAGGCTCCCTGTAAAATACGAGATGCCATAGATGAAATGCTTAAAATGGATGTTTAAGGAAGACAGCAAAACAAACATTTACATAATCTTTAGATATTAATATTTGTAAATAATACCTGAACATCTGCTAGCTAGAACAGGGTCACTGACATGGAGATAACTCCGTAAGGGTCAAAAACAACTGCTGTCCATTCTAGCGTATGGAGGCTACCTTGAACGTCAGCAAAGCAAAAAACTTTGTCATTCCCACTGTACCCAATAGCCTGTCTCTAATGGGCTGAAAGCAGGCAAGGCAGCCGTGCTTACTGGGTTGTTAATAACACAACTTACACAACATTTGCTTGCTCACTTGCAAACATACTTTTTCTTGAAAACCCCTTCACCTTTCTCTAATGTTTTTCCTCTGTTTCAGCTTGCATAACCCCAGCCTGCTCTGTCCAGTGCTCAAAGCTGTGCCGAGCTGGCAGCTTGCTGACTGTCCTCTGCAGACCAGGAAGAGTCACTGCGGCCAGCATAAAGCAGCTACATCCCCTTTTTAGCTTAAAGCTCAGTGGTGAAGCTGTGGGCTGGTCCACCAGAAACATTGAAGGTTAAGAGCTGCCCATTACTCCATTAGGCTTGGGAACCATCATATCTGGAGTACTGAGTTTCTTTGTAACCTAAAGTCACTCACAATTTCCTTATGATATAATTTATGTTTTCCAGAGCTGAGTTGCCTTTCCCAACTTCACCATAACATCACAGGCCCAGTGCAACCCCATGGGGCTGGGCTCTCCATTAGTGTTCCTCAAGCTGCTCTCACAAGGCAGCAACCAGTTAGTCACACACATCCCACAAGCTCCCCTACTCTGCTTTTGCAGTACAAAAGCCTTCTCATCCTATGCAGGTCAGACCACGGCAGTTTGACTGGCACTGCTGCAGCTACAAACTGGAAAGACTCACAGTGCATAACAAATCACTGTGACTGCCTGACGAATAACATTACAGAAGAGGATCACCTCCTACCAGACTTTTGTTTTCTTTCCCTTACATATTTTTCCATCTGGCTTATATCTGTCACTAAAAATACACGGCACAGTTCTGAAGCTGTGCAAAACCTGTGGCACCCGAGCTATTGCTGTGACTGTAACTCATGCTTTCCAAGGCTGGAGCCTCAACAAAGCCATAGTGCTCCTTATCACATTCAGCTCCTGCACAGCTTTACTCATACCCCAACTTTGTCTCCTGTAGCTCTGAAGATAAAGAGGTTTTGATCAAAAATTAAAGAAATACTATGGTTTTTCTTTATAAAGAAGGCTGTTAGGATTTTTCTCAATAGTTTTTTGGTCAGAGTGGTAACAGCTTCAGTGAGGAGGGATCAGCACTTCCAGTCTATCCACGCTGGGCATTCAGAAGCGATCAACCAAGCCCCAAAAAATGAAGTTGGCTTTAAAAAAAGATTAAATCTGAAAACCTAACTCAGCATCCTCAGCTTTAACAATCTGGGTTTCTCAGGGTTTTGAACCTTTTGCTTTGAAGCTTTCCTCTGCTACCTAGAAGACCAGCAAAGTTCCCTCTCTGACACCAGCACTGGTTTTTGCCTGCTGAAGAGAAAGCCTGATCCTTTCCTGTTGGGACAAACAGAGTTTGTCACTGGCTTCACTGGCTGGAAAAACCATTTACAGTTAAAACCAACTCTGTTCAACCTAAAGTCACCAAGACAAACAAGGATCCCATAGCGGTGCTCTCTCTTTGAGCTATTTTTCTCTGCTTGCTCTATTCCCTCACATTTTAGTATGACAAAACATGGTGTGGACGGACACCCTCAGTGAGTCACTCAGTAGTGACTGCCATCTCATGAGCTGGAAAGAGGCAAGTATTTGGGATTCTCCTCCTTCCCACTGCCATAATTTACAAGCTGCACATGGTCCTGTCCATTCAGTGCTTGCAACTACATACAATGCATGCTGTATCTGTCCTTGGGGCTAGCCGGGATGCTCCTCGGCACCAGAAACACCATCTCCCAGAAACATCAGCACCAGCCTCGTAGCAAGTAGTGAAAATGCTCAGAAGACAATGTATTTGCAGAAAGATTATTATATGATAGTGGCTCCTATCTGAGCAGAGAAGAATGAAGCCAAGAAAAGTTACTGCTTCAAAAGCAGCCACAGGAGCTTCCCAGACTGCTCTCTTTAAAGGCCATAGGGAGAGAAGAGGAGGACAGAGAATCTACAGGATTGCAAGTAGCTCTTTGCTTCGCAGTTTGATCACATCAGCTGAAAAGCTCATTGCAATATCCCAACTACAACATTAAAACCCACACCCTATTCACCTTCTGAATAGAGTGAAGCATGGACTGGCACATCCTGAGCTCTGGGGAACACTAGCCAAAGAAGAGCTAGCTTAGCAACAGGGAAGGGTTGTAGGAGCTGTACAGAGCATGGGGGGCTGTGAGGTGTGAGGCTGCGAGGATGAAGCATTTCTGAACTGCCTTGAACATCTCCTAAAACCACCCAAGCCCTTTCTCTTCACACTGGTGCACCTGGCCAGAGGTTTGCGGTTGGTTTTTTTCATTAATTAATTACTTTTATTTAGCTAATTAGGTTGTATTTAATTAGATGAGCATGAAATCAAGACAACTGCTTTATTCTCACCTCCAAAAGCTGGCCGCATGGTGAAGTCGTGGTCATCGACCCTGAGAAGCTGCTCTGTCTTTCCTTTCCAGGTTTTGGTCACGTCATGGTTCCTTTTATAGATGTGACTGCAAAAGACAGCAATCGTGTTGGTCTGACACCTCTGTGCCCGAGCAGCACTCTGCGGCCAACCTCTGCCAGCCCGATCCCAGAACCGCTGGAACAGCTGCTTCGTGGGGCAGCCCCAAGGAGGAAGAGGGGTTGCTTCAGTACAAGTAGTTTCTGTGCTTTGTCTTCTGACTTTAAACAATGACAAACCCACCCATTTCCCTCCACAGCAGCAGGAAAAGAGGGTTTTTACCTAAGGAAGGCAGCAAGAGCTGCAACGCTGCACTTTTCTGAATACTAAGGGCGGAAATACTCTAACTTTTTATTTGAGAGATTCTACGGTAACAGTACAACAGGGATGACAAGAAGTTTAACCAACCATTCTGTTAGCTGTGAGTCCTGGATTTTGTGCACCACTTGGCAGCCTGTACATCAGCACAAATGCCCTCAATTTCATGCAAATAGGTGTCGCCAATATCCTTCACCCAGTTTTGCATATAAATGACAGAGAATGACAGATCCCTGGAAAATGTGAAAAAACTACTATCAAAGTACAAAGCCAGGAGCTGTTACTCCATGAGCACGCTCCAGTTTCCTATGCAAAGCCCAGGCTCTCCAGAGCATAGTGTGAAGCTGCACCGGGCAATGACCACAGCAATGATGCACAGGGCAGTTATTTCTTTAAGTCATACTTCAATTTGTAGAGGAGTTGTTATCAGAGAGGTGGGGCATGCAGGAGTAATGGGAAATTAAACATGACAGCTTCTAATTAAGCAAACATTACCCATTCCGCATGCAGACTGAATACCGCTTGTAAGGAAAATAACATGTTGCAGCTCAGTATTAATGTAGAACAAAGGGAAGAATTAAGGATGCACAGACAGCACTTAACCTGGCACTTCTTAACTTGGGTTCCTACTTCCACATCCCTAACCTGCCTTTTGCCATATTCCTTTCCCATGCAGGCACAGGCTCAACAGTGCACTTCTGCGTACACTTAGCAGATTACTGTCTCACTGCCTGCAGGACCAGGTACCCAGGCCCTCAAAGCTCCATGGCAAAGAACCTCTATGCAGCATTCAAGTAATGAACTGCAGAATTCAAGATGTTCTGCACTTGCACAACCCAAGCTAGCTTCTTGAAATCAATATAAATATCACCAGATCAGGCTGCTGTATCACCTTAAAGGACACAAAATGTCAAACTTATTACATGTAGATTCCCAAACATCAGAATGCATTTTCTTGGCTAATATGTTTACTGTAAAATTTACTGTACTTCTTGTGGTAAGGCAGCAAGAGAAATACTAAATAGAAAATGTGATGAAATTATAAAAAAGGACACTCATTTCTTTTACATGATTAAAGAAACAGCAAAGGAACTGGTTTTGATTTCCTCTTACTAGAAGAGTCCACTATTCACTGCTGGTTTAGACACAACTATATTCTTTTTATACATAACTGGGAATTTGAAATATCAATGTCACTACTCAATACAGTTTTTAATATTGCAGAATTTTCTGTATTTAAAACATCATTCACATTTCACAAAATCATAAAATAATTACGGTTGGAAAGGACCTTAAGATCACCTAGTTCCAACTCCCCTGACATGGACAGGGATGTGCTAAAACTTGATTTCATATACTTTCAAAGTATATTACATATGAAATGCGTATATATACATATAAATAACGTGTGTGAATATATAAGGTATATAGTTGCTCAGATTCTATCTAGCTGTTCATTGAAGCCATTATTCCACGGGAAACCAAATAATAGCAGTCATTCTTTACAGTAAATTAATTTATAGAAATTATTTCAGCAGTGCTTTGACTTCCACTTTATCACAGCTTCATAACAGCACTGTAGAAATTGTATATAATTTTCACAGTGTTTAAATGACGTATCAAAGATTCAAGCAATTGTAACCCAGAGAATGGCATCACTCTGGGGCAAAAGAATGATTTATACTATTTTGGTCCTTCAAAGTAGACGATCTCTACCACATGTGAATGGTTTGCAAGGAAATGCTACTGCTGAATCCCCTGCATTCTCCAGAACAGAGATTTGGAAAAAACTTCAGAGTTAAATGAAAGATCTCATTCCATAAAAGCAATTCTATGGAAATCAGTGGTAAAACTTCAGTTGGCTTTCAGATTTCAGGATCAGGTCATAGCTGTTTCAGCTTTATAACATTTACGTCACTAACAGCATATGCTACTGTAGATTCTCAATAAGTAGTATAAACCAGAGCATATTAGGTATTCTTTGCTTTCAACTATATCACAACATTTCATTGCAAGATGTTCAAGTAACAACACTCCCTATAAAAGTGTTGAGTGTTAATCAAAAAAATAAATGAAAATAAATTAACCCATGGAGGTTTACAGCCTTAGTGAAGCCATTTAATAAGGTGGATTAACCCAATTTTATTTTTGAGCCCTTCGAACAATGAGCAGTCTTGTAAGATATAACTACCACTGGATGACATCACTACAAAAAAGGATAACATACTTTGGACTGTCTGACAGGTTTGGAAGATTATCTTTTCTAATGTAAACTGCTGGTCAAATCTCAGCAATAGTAAATCTAATAAACTTTACTAAGACCTTTAACTCTTTCCTGTGCCTTTGCTGGACTTTAAAATGTAGTTCTTCAAAATGTGCTTTTGATTTTATGATCCCAGGATAACCTCCAGGGATTTATTTCTTATTAATCAGTATCATGCATGCTAACCGTCATTCCCACCTCAGATTGTTAGAAAATAACAGGCAATTTCAAGTGAAATAAGTAGCACAGATATTCCAGCAAGCAGGGTAAATAATGTGCTCCTGAAACAGTGCTGAAACAGTGTGTAGATTTGAACATCTCTATTAATTGCAGCTTCTCTACATTCTCTCAGTAATTCACATATAGGGCTAAGAATATATTGACCACAGTCCATGCTGAAGCAGTCAGCTTCTCTGCAAAACCTTGTCTCACTAGGAGTTAACTAACATTAGCATTAAATGCATCCATTTACAGTTAAAACTGGTTATTCTGTCTGAGACTATTATAAAAACATATACGAAGCTGCTTCCACATACACCGCACACAAAAGGACACAGACAGGGCAGATCTTAAGGTCTGTGTAGTATTTGTAACACTGCAGGAAAAGAAACACAGGTGGTTTAATAACCTTTACCTTGCCCTCTGCACATCCAGCTGGCTTGTCCACCTTCTCCTCCTGTGCTTTCTGCTTTCCACAAGAAGAACTAAGCAGAAGATTAATAAAAGCAGTTTTGCAAAATAAGGCATCCTGCTGGTAACAGGAGCCGGGCACACTCCACTCCAGTAACCTCCTGCAGCACCAGTCCCCCCGGCTTTAAACATTGAACCAACTCTTAATTCCGGTGTTGCGTGTTCGTCGGCAATCAGCGGCAGAAATGCTGCCTTCCCGACGTGATGCTTTTGACAGGCTTTCAGGGGCTTCTCACTCCCAGCTTTTCCCTCATCACCACTTAACGATTGGCCATCACTCATGAAGTTTGCCTCACCAAACATTTCCACTGGGTCCTAAAGGATATTTACTAAAGCTGTTATGTAAAAAAAAAACCCGCAATTCTGCACGCCGGCTTTTTGGTCAATCCCCTAATCTCAGAACAGGGCTATCCTCCTGTAGTCTGTATAACCAGGCTGTCCCTGTCCACCAGGCTTTCCAGATTTTCTGCTTCTTTGCATGGAATCTTTTTCAACTGGAAGGCACCTGTGCCACATTTCAGATGTCTGTATAATTGTAAAACGTATATGCTTTGATGGTTTTATAGCAGCTGAGATTTTATTTTCTGATTCAGCCTTTTTATGCCACTGAAGATAAAAAGATGAGTTATTTCTTCTGAAAATGACTAATTTACCATTATCTTTCAAAACACATAACCCCCAAAGTATCTATACATGCAATCGACTCTCTACATAAAATTAAGTCACCATTAATATTTATTTTTTCAAATAGGTATTTGCAGAATCAGGCATTTGTACTTTCATTAGAGAAGATGGAAATAAAAATGAAGTTACAAAGCACTGTTTCTTTAATCGCAAAGAGGAGGTTGTTTTCAAAAACCACGTAACACTTATTTCCCTCATAGCCACTTCAAAGGGCAATGTAGACTGCGCCTGTGGATTTTGTGGCTTTACTAATAGTCAGTGTGTGGTACAGGTACCAGAGCAAAAGTTTGCGTGGCACAGCAGTGAGGCTCTAGGAAAAGAAAAGCACTTTCAGAGCAAAGCTTCCAGAGGAGCTAGAGAGTCAAAACCCAGCACAGCTGCCTCTCGGATCAGACCTCTTCCAGAGCTCTCTTCCATGTGCCCAGGTTTGCAGTACTTTAACAGAACAGGTATTCAAACAACGTATCACCTAGGAAACACGGTACTTGTATTCTAGAGGCTACAGACTCTGGAGAGGCATTCTGTGGGGGTTTGGTGTGTTGTTCTGGGGGTTTTAACGTCTAATGAGATGATATACAAATTAGGTAAAAACATCAATATACATCAGTATATTGACATCAAGTTGTTTTGCAGCACAATGTGCAAGTAACTGCTGAACTGGCTGAACAAACTACATAGTTCTGAAAAGGTCAGACAGGAGTATTTTTGATTTTTGTTCCATTGTACCTGCAAACAAGATTATAAACAATGCACCCGAAGAGCTAAAAAAAAAAAAAAAAAAAAAAGAACTTGGTTATTTGGATTTTGGTTTTTCTTTCCCTCATTTTCACACCACTCTTGGATACAGTGGGCTTTCCTTATTTTAGAAGTTGTTATAGCTACTTTAATATTCCGAAACACTAGCACACGCTATATATAACAAAATCATTTCTGCTGAGAAACAGGATAAGAATGTCACTTAAATCAGTGCTGTCATGTTTGACAGCAATGAAATGGAAGTTAGCTAAATTTCACTGCCTTTGAAATAAACATGCTAGAGTGCACTTAAAGCTGAACAATAATACAAGAAGAAAATTATCCCACTGATTGCTTTCTTCTCTCAAAACCCAAACAATTGTATGTCTATTGCTTGTATATGTGCTTTCAGAGCATTCATTAATATTACCAGCTCTTTTTTTCATAATCTAATAATAAGAAAGCCTTTGGGTCCAATAATCATTTTAAATTAAAAAAAAAAAAGAAAATACAAACCACAAACAACAAAACATGTGCAGGAAAAACCACACACACAAAGGCTATGTGATACTCGAAACGTATCTGAAGAGTGGCTTGAAACTGTTTATTACTACCGGGGTTTTAATAAATATTTCTCTTAAACGTGTTCATATATATGAGAGTTTAACAACATTCAAATATTCTTTAGTAAATAAAACCACATATGAAACATTCAGTTCAACACTTTATGTATATTTCTGGTATAATTAAAAGACAATAGCTCTGGGTAAATAATTATATTACATATTTATAACTATCGTGAGAATAGACATGTTTTATATAATCTTCAAATTTAAGAAAACAAGATATACATTTGAGAATATTAGAAGAGAACATTCAAATCTTGTGGAAGATTATCCGATCTTTCTTCCAAAATATAAAAACCAAAATACAAGTAGCTTTCTGGCCCCTTCTTACCTCCCCTACAATCCTTTTCCCCTTTCACACACACAAAGCAACATCACAACCAGTTTGCATGTGTTCCCCCTCTAGAAATGCGTCATGGTAAATAAAAGTGGTTACCAAACTGTCTCCCATCTAAATTAAGAGTTCACTGGACACAAACACGTAGTTGTGTTTCATTTCATAATTACTTCTCCAATGTCAAATCTTAAAACTTAGACATGATTAATTGCATTTACGTTCCATAAAAAAAGTGAATCAACCACTTCTTTTAAGTTGCCTTTTTCTAGCTGATAAATTACTCAGATTGACTCCCTTCCTCTCCCACATCCAAGTATCTAGTGGGCACTCAATTAACACTCGTTGTAGTTAGAAGTACAACTTTGCTTTTCTTACAAGTAACGTATCTGTACGTACATTAACATTTGTAACGATTTAAGCATAAATACAAAAAGTAATCTTTGTAAACAGTTCTCATATCATACCAAATACCCAATACAGAATGTTCAATGACGCATTCAGGTCACTGCTGTTAGGACAAACCAAATTAATTATAACTCAAATATATACTCATTAGCCAAACATATTCTACGAAATATGAGAGCTGCCAATGCAAGAGTCAGAAGGACAATCAGAACAGTTGATCCAGTGTGGTTCATGTTGACTCTTGGTTGCTGTACCCGATTAAAGTCAGTTGAAGACGGAGGCCGTCTCTGACTCTGCTGCTGGGCACGGCGCTGCCGAGGACTCATAGACGTATTAGTGGACACTGAAGGAGTATACTCTTGACTGGCTGCTGCACTGATGTTCTGGGTTTCAGACTAAAAAGGAAACACGGAGAGTTGTGAGGCAAGACACTATGTAAGATCAGCAAGGATCAAAATCATTAAAACGCACTCTTCAGATAATTGTTAATACTTGCAAGCCTGATAATACATGTCACTAATAATTACAAGATTGTTACAGACATCATTTTGTACAAACACTGTCTTGAAAAGTCTATTTCAAGCTGCAAATTAGCAGTTTTAAGGACTTTATTCTTTTTAAGGAAGAAAGTCTGTCAAACAGTACTTGAATTCTAGATTGTTTCCAAATCATGAGATTTCAAATATCTCTGTCTACAATTTGCTTAGCTCTCTGCAGTTCAATATATCTTTAATAGTCCTCCAGTTTAGTCTCTGAGGATTTATACCATCACCTAATACTGAAAAGGAAACAACTTGAAAGAAGTCCAGAGAACAATAACTAAGCAATGCTGCACTGCTTACTGTGGACAGCTGGGTCCAAAACTCTGTTCTCATCACCACCAACACCGCTGGAAAAAACAAAACAAAAAATCCTGAACACAAAACACCTACGTGATTCCAGCATGAACTACTGAGCACTGTACTTGTGCATGCACAAGTACCTATTGCCCTCTACTGGTCAAACATTGCTCTGCCATTATATGTAGTGAACAAAATAAACATTAGCAACTGATGTTCAGCTCAGAAGAGTATTATTTAAATAAAGTACTTTTCCAGTTTGCAAGGTTGAAACTATGGGCTCCAATATTCCACTGTCCTAATCCTCCCTGCAATACTGAAAGGCTCATACTTCTGACATTTTAGTATTAAAAATAGTGACATAGCATAGTTGTTGGAAAAAAACATTTTGCCAAAGTTTCAGTTTTAAAGTGTTTAAAAAACAGTACCTCTGACACAAAGTTATTAATCTGAAGTCATCCTTTGACTTCTCAGAATAGTCTGCAGGTATTCCCTGCATCTATTCTCCAGAGTTAGCTTTCTCCCCCCTCCCCTCTTCTAAAAGATTATCATTACAGCAGGCAAAACTAGAATTCCAGACATTCCATATTTACTTCCAAGCAAAAGCCTTTTAATAAACACAGTATCTACAACCCTAAGCTCTGCACTGGCCAGCTACTATATCCACAAAAGATATCCTTTGCACATGGCCAGGCAGGGAATGTCCTCAACTGTGTACCAGACTTGTTGATCCACAAGACATGGTGCTGTTGTGACTCTTCGGCCACATATTCTGCATGTAGGAGAAGAAATCCAAATTTTCACCTAGTCATTATTTGACTAGCCCAGGGAAGAGATGCTCCTTTCCTACCTCCTCCTCATTAGTATTATCCAGTGTTTATCATCAACATAGAAGCACTGATGTAATTACACATTTGACAACTTGCCTGTTTACACAGGTTTCTTGCCTAAGCAAACAAGCTGCTTGGGTAGCTTCAAAGAAAAATGTTATTTTATCATCAGAGACAGCCAAGAACAACGTTATGAGCAGCTTGCCATGATTTCCATTACACTGCAGGAGAAAGTCATCCTGCTTCGTAGACAACCCACTGGGAAGCTTCTCATGCCAAGGGAAATAAAGACTCAGAGAAATTGAGCATTTGACAAATGAAGTTCCTAGATTCATCTACACTCCCATCTTTCAGAAGAGGAGAGGGAGAAAAGTTCATTCAGGAAGCAAAACCAGCAAAATTCAGCAGGCAAAGTGTTGTTAAACCAGCTTTAGAAAAAGGAATAAAAAAAAAAGGAGTCTAGAAATATTTCTGACCCTTTACACTTACTAACAAAAGTAACTAGCTCTGGCTACCACACACCTGGGTTTCTTCTCAAAATTTTAAATCTAAAAATAGATCAGAAAGGTCCTGTTCTGAATGAGACACAGTGCCACACACTGACATTAAGAGAACTGTGATTCAAGAGAAACCTCACTGACGACTGCAAGGCTTGAAATTATTTTTTGGAGCCAACTATATATATGCATCAGGACTGCAGAAGACTGACTGCCTCACGCAAAACTGAGCTAACCCACTGCCTTGGGATTCCCAGCATAATCAATGACAAAGTATTAGCAGACATGCAGAAGCAAGACAGATAAGGAAGGAGTGATTATTACCCGGTATAAATTTGGGACCAGATACTAATGTATCTTAAATACTCAGAATCGCAGAACTGTTGAGGTTGGAAGGGACCACCACAGGTCATCTAGTCCAACCTCCCTGCCCAAGCAAGGTCACCTAATGCACATTACTTGTGTCCAGATAACTCTTGACTATCTCCGAGGAAGGAGAGTCCACAACCTCTCTGGGCAACCTATTCCAATACTCAGTCACCCTCACAGTAAAGAAGTTCTTCCTCATGTTCAGGTGCAACTTTGTATTTTAGTTTATGTGC